GGAAGCAGTAAGGAGGGCTGGGCCACACCTCTGCCAGAGGTGAGGGAGGAAGGTGCCAACTTTCCCAACTAGGGACACAAAGAAGAGAACCCAAAACCTGTGCTCTATCGCTGCCTCCTAGAAAACAGAAAGATCTCTACCGTCTCATCTGTTGAATTGTTAAATTCAAGCAGAAAAGTGCTCTCTGCTTCAAATGAGTTGGCAGAGGAACCACGCATCCAGCACGATGAGAACCACAGTAATACGTACTACAAAAAAATAAATGGCAGTCCTCCACAACCACACTTCCAGTCATGGAATATTCTGATGTAACTGACGGAGAACTCAAAATCGCTGTCATGAAGAAACTCAGCAAGCTCCAAGAAAACTCAGAAAGGGAGTATAATGAGCTCAGGAATGAGATGAGAAAAGAAGGAATACTTTACCAAAGAAGCTGAAACTCTTAAAAAAAACTATGTAGATTTCAATGTACAAATCTGGCACCCTTTTTTAAACAGATACCTGATTATTTTATTCTGATGCTATTATAAATGGAATTTAAAACGATTCTTTTTCCTAATTTCATGTTACTGGTACACAGAAGCACAGCTGAATTGGTCCCTGCAGTCTTGCTAAATTCAACTGTTACTTCTAGAAGACTTCTTCGCCCAAGGAATTTATGCACAGGATCATGTCAGCTGCAAATGCATATACATACATTTTACATAACTTTACTTCTTTGTCTTCTTTTTTTTTAAATAAATATTCTCCTTTTATTTCTTTTCTCCTTGCATTCTTGCTCTGACTAGGACCTCTAGTACAACAGAAATGTACCAGAGGTGTAATAAAAATGGTGAGAGTTGACATCCTTGCCTTCTTCCTTGCCTTGAGTAGAAAGTGTTCAGTCTTCCACCATCAAGTATGTTGCCAGCAGCAAGTCTTTCATAGATGCCCTTTATCAAATGAAAGACGTGGCCTTTTATTCCTAGTTTGCTGAGAGATTTTATCATGAATGAGTGTTGAAGTTTTTAATGTTTTTTTCTCCGTAGAGATGACCGTACGGTCATTGTTCTTTATTCCATTAATACGACACATTACATGGATGTATATACACTCATCCAAACAGGCCTCCAGAGATAAAACGTACTTGGTCACAATGTGTTGGATTTGATTTGCTGATGTTTTCTTAAGGATTCATGAGTGACACTGGTCTACAGTGACCTTTCGACATCTTTTTCTGGTTTTGGTATCAGTGTTAAAACTAGCCTCATGAAACAATTTGGAAAGTGTTTCTTCTTCTTGTATTTCTTCCAAGAGTTTGTGTAGTGCTGCTATTAATACCTAAATGTTGGATGGAATTCACAAATGAAGCCATCTGAGCCTAGAGTTTTCTTTGTGGAGTATTTCTAATGATAAATTTAATTTCTTTAATTCCTATAGTATTATTTAGGTTTCCTGTTTCTTCTTAATTCAGTTCAATAAGTGGCTCTTTAACGAACTTCACTTACTTCATACTAGTTGTCAAATTTATTTGCTTAAGTTGTTTGTAATAGTCTCTTATTACCCTTTAATGTGATAAAGTCCTTCTAACTCTGCTTTTGAAGCCTCCCACATGTTTTGATTTCATTGTAATTGAGTTAAAAAGAATTCTAATTTTTATCTGATTTTCTCTTTAAGCCATGATAATCCACGGATTTGAAGTGGGTTGGTTAAATTTCTAAATATTTGTGGATTTTGCAGATATGCATTTCTGACTTAATGTAACTGTGGTCAGAGAATATACTCTGTAATTTAGGTCCTTTAAACTGCCGGAGACTTGATTAGGGCCATAATGAAGTCTATTTTTGTGAATGTGCCAGGTGCACTTGAAAAAGAAAGTCTATTCTCTTCTTTTAGGATGTGATACTCAATATATGACAAGTAGATCAAGTTCGCCCATGATCTGGTTTAAGTCCTCAATGTCCTTACTTGTTTTTGTTGACTAGTTCTATTATTGAGCTAGGACAATTGATTTATGAATATAATTGATTTCTAAAAGTAATTGATATATAAATATTAGGGAAATAAATCTATTTCTTTATCAGTTCTGCTACTTCATGCTTCATCTATTTTGGAGCTCTGTAATTAAGCATTTATACATTTATTACTTTTGCCTTGTCATACAGACCTCTTATTATAAAAAGTCTTTGGTCAAAGATTTATTTTGCTGAGCCTGATGAAGGAATTTGAAAATGATACAAAAAAAAAATGGAAAGATATCCCATGTTCTTGGATTGGAAGAATTCATACTGTTAAAATGTCCATGCTACCCAAAACAATTTACAGATTTAATGCAATCTCTATCAAAACACCCATGACATTTTTCACAGAATTAGAACACATGATTCTAAAATTTATGTGAAACCACAAAAGACCCTAGATTTGCCAAAGCAATCTTGAGAAAAAAACCAAAGCTGAAGGTTTCCTGCTCCCTGACTTCAGACTCTACTACAAAGTTACAGTAATCAAAACACCATGGTTCCTACACAAAAACAGACACGTGACTCTACGGAACAGAATAGAAAGCCCAGAAATAAACCAGTGCACCTACGGTCAATAATCTATGACAAAGGAGGCAAGAATATACAATGGAGAAAGGATAGTCTCTTCAACAAGTGGTGTTGAGGAAGCTGGACAGTCACACGTAAAACAATGAAATTAGAACATTCTCTCACATCATATACAGAAATAAACTGAAAATGGTTTAAAGACCTAAATACAAGACCTTAAACCATAAAAATCCTAGAAGGGAACACAGGTAGAACACTCTTTGGTATAGACTGTAGCAATATTTTGTTTGGATCAGTCTCCTAAAGCAAAAGCAATAAAAGGAAACAAACAGTTGGGACCTGATTAAACTTAAAAACTTTTGCGCAGCTTTTAAGGAAACCATTGACAAAACAAAAAGACAACCTACTGAATGGGAGGAAATATTTGCAAATAATATGACTGACAAGGGTTTAATATCGAAAATATATAAACAGTTCCTTAACTCAGTTAAAAAAAAAACCACCCAAATAACCCAATGAAAAAATGGCAGGAAGATGTGACTGGACATTTTTCCAAGGAAACATAAGGATGGCTAATGGACACATGAAAAGATGCTCATCATGGCTAATAATGGGAGACACGTGAATCAAAAACAAAATGAGGGATCATTTCACACCTGTCAGAATGGCTATTATCCAAAAGTATACAAATAATAGATGCTGGAGAGGCTGTGGAGAAAAGGAAACCCTCCTTCACTGCTGGTGGGAAGGTACACTGATACAGACACTATGTAAAACATAGAGTTTACATAAAAGTTTCCTCAAGAAACTGACGCTAAAACTACCATAATGA